CATGCATAGTCAAATACAATATTACAATGTCTTTTTTTTTTTTTTCCTTGATACAATAATGATACAAAGTTACACAAATGTAGAATATCACCTGTTATAATCTGTTTTTATAGTAGTTGAATTGAAATGAAATAAGAACAAACAAAGCCACCCCGTCTCAGCTAATCAATCATGGCATCAAATATTTTATCTTACAAAACAAATGTATAGTTCCATACATAATAGGCTATTACACATATGTCCTGGCCAGGAAGTGATACCAAATATGGCAATCAGAGGACTGGATCTTAAGTTTAAACCCAAAACTTTATATAGTATAATATAATATATTTTGGAGATGTATCCTTTTTTTATGTATATTGTGTGAAAACACAATTTCCCAGGGCTGCTCTCGAGGAACAGTGGGAAAGTTAGGAAATAGATTTGAAACAAAGCTACGAATCTGAAAGTAGCGAAATAAATGACTTCCAGGTAAAGTATGTTTGGCAGAAAGATTAGCAAAACTATCAAATATCCTCGATGTATATAGATCTTTAATTTGGCTGATACCCTTATCATACCAAATAGAATAGCTGGAATCAGATAGCGATGGTGGAAATAAGTGATTGTTGTTCAATGGACCCAGTGAAGAGGCTGATGTATTCCCAAAACCACGTCTAAACTGATACCAGATGTCCAGTACCACTCTGTTGTTAGTATACAAGGATAGTTTTATAGAAATAGAGGAAAAAATCAAAGCTGAAAGAGATGAACATAAGTGTTCTAGTTTGCACCATAGAGTTGTCGGAGATTTTAGTAAGTAGCATAGTTTATGGATGTGAGCTGCCCAGTAATACGATTGGAAATTGGGCAGTGCAAGTCGGCCACTAAGTCTACACCTCTGCAACAATGATTTCCGTACTCTAGGAGGTTTCCCATCCCAAATAAAATCATCAATAATCTTGTCTAATGCATCAAAAAAGATTCTAGGAAGAAAACTGGGGATAGTCTGAAATAAGAAAAGAAATCTGGGCAAGACATTCATTTTGATCACGTTAATCTTGCCAATAAGGGATAATGGGAGGTAACGCCATTTCTGAAAATCTGACTTAACTTTTGTGATAAGAGGGGTATAATTAGCTGAAACCAAAGAGGTAAAAGAACGATTGATGTTTATACCTAAATATTTAAACCCAGATGGGCTAAATTTAAAAGGAAATTCACTTTGTTGAAGATTGCAAGCAGCGTTGTTGATTGAAAAACATACAATTTATACCCCTAAAAAGAGCTAAAGTTATCGAGTATCCTCAAAACAGTTGGAATAGTGGTGGTATAATCAGTTACATACAGAAGCAAGTCATCAGCATACAATGATCATTTGTATTGAATATTATTTTGCAATATCCCTTTAAATAATGGAGCAGCTCTCAGTGTGATTGACAGAGGCTCGATTGCAATGGCAAAGAGGAGAGGCGAGAGAGGGCAACCCTGACGTGCCCCGCGACCCAGGGTGAAGTAGTCAGAGTAAATGTTGTTGGTATGTACACTAGCCTTGGGTGATGAGTATAGGAGACGGATCCATGCAATTAATCTATTGCCAAAGCCAAATTTAAACAAAGCTGAAAACAAATACTCCCACTCCACCCTATCAAAAGCTTTCTATGTGTCGAGCGAAATTACCAATTCTGGATTATCTGACGTATGTTTTGGATAAATAATGTTTAGTAAAGTACGAGTATTGAAAAATAGCTGGCGCGACTTTATAAAGCCATTTTGCTCGGCTGAAACAATGGAGGGGAGTACATTTTCCATACGTGATGCAATTGTTTTAGCTAGCACCTTAACATCAGAATTTAAAAGTGATAAGGGCCCATAGGACCCACAGAGTGTAGCATCCTTGCCCTTATCAATTAACGTGAATGTGGCTTGTGTGAGCGTGGGTGGCAGACAGCCATTCTCTAGTGATTCATTAAACATGGCCAGAAGCAGTGGTCCCAATTTCTCAGCAAACTTTTTATAAAATTCAATCGGTATCCCGTCGGGTCCGGATGCCTTATTTGATTATAACGCTTTAATTGAGTTTAAAATTTCGATGTGGGTGAGTGGGGAATCCATGCTCTCAGCCACGTCAGGGTCAACCACTGGATTATCAAGGTCACGGAAAAAATCCTCCATTTTGCAATTGTCTGGGGGAAATTCTGATTTGTATAAAGAAGAATAAAATGATTTAAAGGTGGTATTTATTTCAATAGGGTCAGCAGTAATAGTATCTTCCGCATTTTTTATACTTGATATACTGCGTGAAGTATTTTGTCGTTTCAGCAGGTGAGCCAAAAGACGACTGGCTTTATCGCCATGCTCATTATATGTGCCACGGGTTTGTAATATCAAGCGCTCTGCTTCACGAGTAGTTAAGAGATTAAATTCTGTTTGCAAATCCAAGCGTTTTTTATGAAGTTCTGAGGACGGGTTTATTGCATATCTTTGGTCAATGTCAGTAATAGCTGTTGTCAATTCGTTCATCCTAAAATCAGACTTTCTTTGATAAGGCATTGTAGTAAATTATTTGGCCCCTAAGAAAGCATTTGAGTGTCTCCCATATTAATGAAAGTGAAGTAGAAGAAGTTTTGTTAAACAAAAGGAATTCATCAATTGAATTAGAAATGAAATCACAGAATTCCTTATCAGCCAAAAGAAGTGAATTAAATCTCCACCAAGGTGGGGCGTGTATTTGGGTGTCAAACTGAATGTCTAATAATACTGGCGCCTGATCAGATATTGTTATACTCAGATAATCAGATGAAATTACAAATGGGTTTAAAGCTCTATCAATTAAGAAATAGTCAATCCTGGAGAAGGAATGATGCACTTGGGAAAAAAAAGAATATTTCTGACCAGAGGGGTTTAGAGATCTCCATGGGTCGATAAGATCATTGTGTTTCATAAAATTGGAGAAAACTTGTGCCGATAGAGTATGAGTGCGTGGATTTGATCGGTCCAAATTTGGACTAAGAACACAATTTAGATCAGCAGCAAAAATGATTGAGTGGGTATTCAGGAAGGGGAGGCTGCTCAATAATCTATTGGCAAAGGCAGGGTCATCAAAATTTGGAGCGTATGCTAGGGATGGGCGATATGGCCTAAAATTCATATTGCGGTATAATTTGGGACACAGACGGTAGACGGTATATATTGCGGTATAATTTGTTGTGTGAATTTCAATATAGGTCTAGCAGGTTCTTGCATAAAATAGTCAAGATTGTTACTTATTTATATATTAGAATCTAATACATATATTTTTTGAGTTAGAAAATCAGTTGTGAGACGAATAAAGAGACAAATGTTGTGACATACATTATTTATGTATGTTACAGTAAATACCATTCACTGTAAAAGCAATTTTTAAAAAGAAAAACATATGCATTCATTTAAAATATAAAAAACTCACAAATGTTGAAATCAAAGTCTGTAGAAGTTAGACATGGTCATTATTTATAGTGTCTGAGAGTTTTGTGCAGGTACATGGCTTTAGTAAAAGCTATTGTTTGTTTACAAAGCTGGTCTGGACATTTGTTGACGCTCCCTAAGTGTTTTTCTCTGTGCTTGCAGTGAACTGGATGATTCAATGGATTTATGATCCTTAAAACAGCACATTGGATTTGAACAATTGATTGTAAATGATCATTTTGGCACAATACATTTTGTTTAACAAAGTAGCTTTCGTGAGATATTGACCGCGGAAGTCCGAATCTGACGCTAACTTTCCCAAACTTCTGCTGTGATGCTGCGGACACGGCACACGCATGGATCTATTTTGGCTCACGCTGGCGCTTCGAGCCTACGCCCCTTTGACACTGATTGGCCAAAAGGTAGACGCTTAAACTGTGATTACTGTGTGTGTGTATTTACCTCTGCTGGGGCCGCTGTGACAACAATACATAGACAGAAACACGGTGTTAATGCCGTGCAGTTGTTCGTTGTTTCCAGTGGTGTCTGCTAGGCTAATAGTGCTAGGCTAATGCTAGGCTAATAGTGCTAGGCTAATGCTGCTGAATGCCGGTTTGTTTTGGTCCTTTCTGCTGGAGCCTGCGCAATTTGATGACATAATGACCTATTGCAATATGCCGGTATAACAAAAATCTCTACCGTGGGCCAAATTTATATTGCATACCGCTTATACCGTTTATATCGCCCAGCCCTAGCGTATGCATTAATTAACAAAACCTGTTTCCTCATCAAAGTACCAGCAACTATTAAAAATCTACCTTGTTCATCAGCTATAACCTTAGTGGAAAAAAAATGTACATTTTTATGGATCAAAATGGCAACTCCTCTCGCTTTTGAATTAAAATCAGAATGAAAAATCGGACTCACCCAAGGACAGCGCAATCTGTGATGGTCATTATTTCTAAGGTGAGTCTCCTGCAAGAACACTATAGAAGGCTTCTGACGTTTCAGATGTGAGAACACTTTAGATCTCTTGACAGGGTTGCCCATCCCTCTGACATTCCAACTTATAAATCTGCAAGGTGTGCCAGGCCCGGCCATTTTAGGATTCACGGTGGTACTAGCCATTTGATCAAATAACATAGAGCTGAGACGGCTCCCCTTCCCCCAATTCCCCTAAAAAACAAAAAACACCCAAAGTCCCCCAAAAACTTTCCAACAGTGGGGACAGCAGTGTATTTAGCACAGAAGAAAAACATGCTCACTTAAAGTAAGCACTTTGGAGTCAACTAATCTATTCTAAGAAGCAAGAAATAAAATTAGTTAGCTGAGAAAGATAATGTGAAGGGACTCCCACCAAACATATCCTAAAATCAAAGTGTGCATTGTAATGGCATTCGAACAGTGTCACAAAAGGTAAGATTTAACTTATATGCGCAGCACAAATTGTACATAAACGTATGCACATAATAGCAAATGTGAATCACAACATTTCAAAGTAAATGATAAGCTGCATTGTGAAAAAGAAGTGAAAGAATGTCTAAGAGATGAGGCCATACCGGTGTATCCTCAAA